AGAACTAATAAAATCTGCGACAATTCGATGAGTTTGATGAGAGAGGTAAAACTTCTTTCATCCCAAGTAAGCAAATCCTGTGCTAAACTCATGAGATATGCCTTTTCGCGATTCGCACAGAAGCAGTGGTCGCCTCTACTACCCAGCCTCAGTTTTCTCTAATGTAACTGTTATTTGGAGGTTACCGTGGACATTATTGACTGTCATAGTTTAACTCCCTCCTTGGACTGTAGTTATCATCCTCTGGATCACTATATACTGACTTTCATTCCATCTGAATGAGCCACTTTATTAGACATGGGCCCGTAGTAAAGTTCCCGCAGATGAGATGATCTGACCTGACGAGGCTAGCCCGTCTTCACTGAGTTCACATGATCACGACCACTCCGCCATAGCATAAAAATACTAAGTCCGCGGAGAGATTAGGGTCATGCGAGGTTCTGCGATGAGATGAACTGAGCCCCTAAGGAGAAAGTTCTCCTGACGGGTCATACAAAAGAAATAGTGTGTGTTTTACGACAGTCCGTCAGGGGAGCTCGTAAGTTGCTCGCAACCAACTGACGATATGTACTTTTCCTTCAAATGTGGAGCATAATCGACCCAAAAGTGCACACTTTTCCTAGTGATTTACCCAAGGTTCGCTCGTAATCAATGATTTGGTTCGGAACCGTTCTGTCTAAATACAGTGCACCTATAATCCTTCATGTAACTCCTACACATTGGCAAAAAAGCCTCCATTGAGCGGATTCGAACCATGGTCAGTTGCTCAGTGGCCGCCACCCCAACCATTGAACTACCAATACTTGGCATGACAAGGTTGTAAAAGTTTAATTGAAGTTAATTGCGCATGCCATGGACCTTGCAATCAATTGTTCCCCTGTACCTTGCCTGCCTTAGAGTGAGTTCATCTGACGCTGTCTTCAGGTGATCTCTGCTGTGGGGACTTTTCTAAGGGCCATGGGCTTAGTCTCATGTGCAATCAACCATTGCTCTTCATTTACCGCACACAGTATGTCTCCTTTTTGTAACAACTGAGAAGGTAATCAAAAAATTCTGCTCGATTCCTTAAATAATGTGAACGCAATATAATAAAAGCCAACTTCTGATGCTCTTGAAATACGAAAATTTTTTGCTCAACTTCTAATTCTCTCCGGTAAATGATGGTAATAATCAGGTGCCATCACAGGCATCCAAACCTTATTTTTAAGCCGTCTACTGTCTTCCAATAATGGTTCAAACATTCGACATGAAGCGTTTGGTCTCTCTTTGTGTCCACACTGCCCGGTGTTTACTAAGTAGACGGTAACTTGCTGCCACTTAGCCTTTACGTTATAGGATACCAGCGTTCAATCAAAGCACTGGCTACAGTTGCGCTGAGCTTTATTCTATGGTCTAGTATCTTCTCACAAGATAAGAGATATAAACTAAAAATAGGATTCGTATCCTGCCTTACATTTAGGAAATAAATTAAACTCCAGGTTGTACTGATGAAAGCGTACTTTCTATTGTAAAAACTGTTCGCATAGAGTTTAGCACTTATGGTAAAGCTCATATTCTCTTCAAAGACAAAAATTGATCTGAAGAATCTATGATAAACTCACGCGGCTTGACATTAAGCCTTGCGGGTGGTGCTTCAATTGGAGGACCTCCTCGTGGATCAGTGGCAGTACAGATGTAATCTCCTGCATCTGACATCTTAGCATTGTTAATGCGAAGAAAACCATCTCGCTCCAAGGTTCCCTCAGGAAGAGCTGAAAGTTGTGATATGAGAGACATTAAAGGAGACCATAGCAGAAAAAAAGTATTTACGTTGTCCGCCCTGCTTAGTCCATCGGAGAATAGCCTGAGGATTTCCAGGTACCCAACAGCGAAACTGTGCCGGATCACCTTCATTTACTGTCTGCTCAGGAGGATCAACTTGAGGCCTTGAAAGTTGAGGTCTAGCTGAAAATGCAGGCTGTTTCCTGAGAACTTCTGGATGTGACTTATATATGCTCACGCTCTGGTCGGCGAACATGGAGCGTGACAGGATCAGAGTCCTGTGGTCTATTGTCTCGCGGATCTGTGGCAGTGCACACGTACTGTCCAGCCTCCTAAATGTCATATTAAAATGAGATCTGTCGTCGCATTTAGGATTAAGGAGAAATTATCATCTACTTTATCAGAAACTTACGTGTTGCGTTGCCCGAGGAATGTGAAGAATGCCCTGCTGCTCCTGAACAGATGAAGGAAGCGGTTGATGTCCAGCTCGTTGCCATTTCAGCTCCACATTTTGATTTCCTGGCACCCAACATCTGAAACGAGCAGGTTCTCCGTCGTTCACAGTCTGCTCGATCGGATCAACTCGTGGGCGTTGCACGGCTAAACAAAGTTTGCGTATGCGGTCAGTTGCAGGCCTTGGTATGGTATGGCAGTTCTGAGAGAAGACTCGCAATGACTTACGTCGCACAACATCCAAACGCGCGTATGGAGATTGTCCGATACCGTAGTCGTTGACAGCTGTGCATATGTAATTTCCAGCATCGTGCATTTGAGCTTTAGGGATCTGCAAGGGAAATGGGCTTTAATTATAGACTCAGCCTCTTTTGAAGGAGGAGAGTTATTTGAAACGCTCTCATACCTTAAGTGCATTGCCAGTCTGGTATACACCATGAGGAAGAGCACCTCCAACACGTTCCTAAACTTTTCATTACTTTAAAGTTCAATGAAAGGATTTTAGATGAGTGAAATCGCATATTCTTTCATCGACTTTTTGCAGGTGAAATTGCACAAGTCTCGAAATTTCGAGCATTCACCTTATGCCAGGTAATCTGACAATCCGGGAGTCCTGGGACCCAACAACGAAAAGCGGCCGGTTCGCCCTCGTTGACAGTTAAATGAGGAGGATCGACAACAGGTTGAGGTGGCCTTCCAACTAAAAGACAGCAAACTCTAT